AATTCCACAAACTCGGTGTTTTGGGAAGCATGAAGGGAATGTTACTCCAATTTCCTAAATAACCTGAACAGATTTACAAGTGCTTTGTGCTAGGATTCAGCTCAAGTCTGTGGATAGGCATGTTCAACTGCACCACCTCTAAAACAATCATATCCCCCTCTGCTGCCAGAGGGCTTGCACCCAGCCTATAGTTCAGTCTAGGCTGGCTCTTATGGCTTCTGTCTTAGACTTATCATTAGCCTTTTGTTTTGTTCTGGGGCACCAGGATGTACAGGGGTGCAGAACTGAAGATGGTTAAGCTGTGCCTGCGCCACGTTGTTCCTCCTACAGTGAGTTAATGCAGCGGGAACGACAGAAAAGCTGTTGTCCAAAGCCCCATGCTTAAGATGTGATACCTGGAGGAATTCCCCCCGCCTTTTCCTGGCTGGGTAACATTGCTCTGCTGTTGGGAATATAGAGCAAGCTCCAAAAGTAATACTGACAGACTTCAGAATTATGATACACTGGAGCTGTGGCGTAATTCTTTGTTGAAGAAGTTAGAGGCCTAAAATGTTAAGGCTTATTGTTATTCCGAGTTGATAATCTCTGCCTTGCTTTAATAATTTTTCCTCATGCCTGGATAGCCTGCGAGTTGCACAATAATCACTCACACAGCTTTGTAATCAATGCCCAAAGTAATAGGATTCCGCTGGCCAACGGCAATTAATAAATTTGTGTCTTTTTTAAAACACTGGCAAGTCGGGCCTGAAATACGACTGACTGCCTCTCCTCATTTGCATATTTATTGCAGTGGAAAAATTCTTGCCGAATGATTGATGTTGAGCCTGCCTCTTGAATTCCAAACAGCACATTATTATGAAATGAAAAATGCCGGCCATACAGTTGATTAAAGTTGAAGACAGTGGAATCGGTGTTTTTTAAGATTGTGGGAGAATTAAAGGCATATTTTAATAGATGTTGACAAGAAGTGAACTAACAAAAGCAAAGCAAAGGATTTGCTTGAAAAGATTTAATCAAACGTGTTTCGGGGGGGATTAATTGCTGGGGATGACTAGTGCAAGTGGCTGGCTGGTGGATTTGAATGAGAAGTATTGTTCTCAGGCCAGCATATCGAGTGCCATTGTGACCTGTAGTTTAACTCCTGTCCCACAGTCATTTGAAAGGAGTGAAAATTTCCCCTCTTCAGCTGAACGTTGGGATAAATGTGTGTACCTGATAAAGATGCTTTTCATTATGTGCAGCTATTAAAATAAAAGAGGTTTGATTCCTCTCCTTTTTATCTGTGTGATGTGAGCGGGGCACTGTGCCCGTGCTGGGCAGTGGTGACACGGTGACTTCCCATGCTAGTGGCACAAGGAACTCGCCCAGTATTTGGCAGCTCAGCTTTGCTTAGCAAACTGTGCCTCAAACAGCAGCCTTGTTCCAGCTTTCCTGTGTGAGCACTTCAGGCAGACTGTGGAGATACATGGAAAATTAAAAGCTGGCATGTGATGCTATTTGTGTGATGCCAGAGCCTCAGATTTAAGGCGGGGGGGGGAAGTAGTTTAATTCCCAGCTCTGGTGTGGGCTCTGAATTTCAGCTGTGGCCTGGGTGTGTGGTGTTTCATGCTGGTACATCACAGTAAGGATGCTCCTGTCTGTTTGCAGACAGTGTGTACACAGTAGCAGGCAGGCACCATTCTGCAGGGGAGCGCTGCCACCCCATCACACCCTGTAAGGTGCTACCAACATACAGGCATGGAGTGAAAATCCAGGGAGTTTTGCCCCAGTTTTTAGGATTCCCTTGCTGTCTTACCCTGAATCCTGCTGGATGGATGCACCGAGGAGCTTGCTGGGTGGAGCAGTTTTGGGAATCCCACTGCTTGGCTCTCTGTGAATACCTTTGACAGCCTGGCCTTGAGGCACCGGCTTTTTTCCATCAGCTTAAAGTGTCTCCACATGAGGCCAGTCCCTGCTGCTCTGCACCAGCTGCTGCTCTCTGCAGCTGCTTGGGAAGATGAAATGAGACCCCATTTTTAGAGGTCAAGAATAAGAGCACAGCTATTTTTCTGTGCAGGAAGCAGCGTTTCTACAGCAAGGCAGAACCTGCGGTGATGGGTGAGCACAGAAGCCATGGTGCCTCAAGTCCCCAGCGTGGCAGTGCTTGGGCTTCAGCAGCAGTGGAGGGAGAAGGCTGGTGGGGTTGGTATCAGGAGCCACCCCATGTGTATGTACACATACAGGGGGATGCCAGCAGCACAGCCAGTTTGTCTGTAAGCACTGGCATTGACAAAATTGATTTTTTTGGTTTGAGAGCAGTAGGACAGGTTTCATCTCTGGTGGGTCTCCTGACACTTTGATACATCGCAGTGCTATCCCTGAATGGAGCTAAATACTCCAGGGCTACTTTCTGACTGGGTGAAGGGATGTATAAAATGAGAACGCATGAGAGAGTATTAACAGAAAGGTGCACTTTGATTTACTGGTACTGGCTCCCAGCTTTCTTGGTGGATTGATACTGTCTGCTGGATCTGGAACAACTTTTTCACCCCTGGACACAAAGCAAAGGGTGAAAGCGACTTTTACAACTTAGCATCTCACCACAGACACTCTGACTGGAGGTTTTTCTCGCTAGTGATACACAGCCCAGTGCTGAAGGTGTCAATTCTGACAATGATGTCGATCTAAGGTAGAATATTTACCCCAGCACATTGCAGTGCAGATTATTCCTTGCCTGCTCACCGTGGTCCTGCTACACCTCAGAAGAGCTGGAGTGCTACTTCAGTTGTAATTGACAGGATCAAAGCTGCCTGGGGTGCTTTAGCTGCTGCTGGAGGGTAGGCAGCAGGGAGAAAATAAACAGTTTGGGAAGCTCTGGGGACATTCATACTGTGTTGCAGGCAGTGGGGAAGATTTTGCTGCTGCAAGCTGCGCGCTCAGGCTAGGGTGGGGGCACCTTTCTTTTGCAGAGGATGCTTTAGCTACAGACACATACAACACATGCATTTTTAAGGGCTTTTGTCTGTCTCTTGGATTTGTTTTGATGCTAACACATGACTCTCACAAGTACAGCAAACCTAATCCATTAATAGGTTTATATAGAGAAATGGTCAGAACGTGTCTGTAATGAACTGTGAGCCAGGGAAGGATGAGTCCAACTGATCTACAACAAAAATCTTAAAGCATCTTCTCCTTGACATTCCTGTTACTGAGGTCAGGCTGTAATCTATCTGAAGATGGTGACAACTGAGCAATATCACAGTGGTAACACGCGGCAGATTGAGACCTCTGAGTGTCTGGGCTGATTTCTGCCTGCAGTGTCTCTGTCTGGCTGATGGAGATTTGCTGCTCACTCTACCCATGATCCCTGGCTCCTCTGTTATAAAAAAGAAATAAAGTTTAGTGGTGAAAAGTTCTCTCCATTCCTTTACGGTAACTACAAAGAAAGAAACAGATTTGGGTGTTAAGCAGAGCAGCTCCACTGACTTCACATCAGTGGAAGAACTGGAAGAGGAGGTACCAGGGGAAGCTCTGGGGAACATCCCAGTGCCTTCCAGCCAGATCCATGTGCTCTGTCAGCCAGTTAGAGCTGCCCCAGAGGATGCTTGTTCTGGGTGTGTGGAGGGAAGCCAAGCCTGTGTGAACCTATCTTGGAACAAAACAGATCCTGAAGCAGTGTGCTACCTTCCCCCAAGCAGTGCATGTTTTCCCCTTCCTGTAGTGGCTCTTTGTAAAAGCAGAAGGCGGTGCACCAGAGACAGGTAAAGAGAAATGAATCTGTGTGAAGTTCAGCCTAGATTTTCGGATAGAAGTGTGCTGAGTGTTTTACCTGTAAGAGCTGAGCTGTGATTGATGCGTAGCAATGTACAAAGGGAGAGTTTGTGTAGGCCCAGGCAAACACTTGTGTTATATCAGAGCATGCTGCAGGGAGGCTTGTTGGTCACCACAAAAGAACTGTTTTTAAAGAACAGATGTTGCAACAGTGTGCAGTTAACCCCTCCCACAGTCAGCTGCAACTCTGTGTCCTTAGAGAACATAAAATCCTTGGATCAGAGACGGTTTTCTCTTCATTTGCATCCAGGGAAATTGTCAGCTATGAAGGCCTTTGGATACACAGCATCAGATCTACATTCAGCATTTGTGTCTGCAAACACCCTGGAAAGCAGCTACTCATCCCTGTAAAACTAACCTTCCCACCACACACTGATCATTTTGTACACCTCTCCACCCCAATCTTTTCTTCGTTTTCTCTCTTTCAAGGATCTCTGAGCCTGCAGTTCTGCTTTTTTGATCAGAATCTCCTCATTAAACTTGCCAGGTCATTGTTGAAGTTTCTCCCATAGATCAGATCTTGCTACATTTAATTTTACTTACAATCTAATTTCTTACACCTCCTGCATGGTGAGCACAGCAGCACAGAAACCAGCGGTAGTCACAGCCTTGCAGGAGTTTGGTTTTCCTTCTTGCCTTCCCTCCTGCTCCCTATAACATGCACATTATATACAAGAAAGGAAAGTCAGAGGTCAGGTTTAGATGGGATGTACACATACACATTTTCCATTGTGTTGCTTTATACTATTCAGCTGAAGCTGGCCTCTGCTGCAGAACTTCACACAGGAGAGAAATGAGTGAGTCAGCAAGAAAGGTTGATGTCATATGTGTGTGTCCTCAGACACTTCTGCACAGAGTACTTGCTTCCTTAGTATGTTAATAGTTCAGGCTCTGCAGTTGGGATGTTTGTTGATGAAACATTAGCTAAGTATACTCCTGATGTGCAGCCAGCCAGGTTAGGAGGCAGTCCTGCCTCTTTCTCCCTCCCTTTTCTTTCCCAGCGTGGTGGTGGTTGACATTAACAGCTATAAATCTGTTTGAAGATAAAAACACATCTCTAACTGGAGAAAAACAGTTAATGGGACAGGCAGTAGTTGTGGCAGAAGTTCAGATTCAAGATGAGAAACTAAGTGGTGCAAAGCTAAGTGTTCACCAGTGGGAAATGGTCTCTTGTGTCTCTTGTTCTGCAGGTTGTAAAGCCGTGGAGGCATTGATGAATGTATTAGTGGAGCTTCAGGATGAGCTGCTTTATCAATACCCAGGCACTAGGCATCTGGTGGATGGAAAGCAATCAAAAACTGAGAGGTAAACACAAGACAAGACCCTTTGGAATCCTTTTGGTCTCCAGCTCTCCAGGACAATGCAGAACCTTCCTACCTTCCCACCCTCCCTCTCTGCTGTTCTCTCAGTTGCTGCTCTATCTGGGTGACAGGCACTCTGAACAAATGTTTGGTTTGTAATCTTGCTGATAACAGAAGGGGCTAAAACATCAGTCTTTTGCCATAAATCTCACCATGGTGTGGAAAAAGCATGGGTGGTAGTGAAGGGGCTGTTAAGAATTCATACATGTTGCCTTAGAGAGGTGTAGGGTGGTTAGTGTGTGTGGTTTTGTTCCAGTGATGATGAAATCCCTAGCAGTAGTGATGAAGAGCAAGTGGATAAGGCTCAGGAGAAGAGGAGGAGCCTCCCCAAGCGAAAGCTGAAGCTGGAGGAGTGCCCAGAGTTCATAGCCAAGCGCTATGCTGACTTCAGGACCTACCGGAACAACGTCCTGCAGAAGTGGCATGAGAAGACAAAGCTGGCATCTGGCAAAGTGGGAAAGGCAAGTCTTTGTTACTGTGTGCTTACATGCTTCTTATTCAGCAGAGAACTGGGAACAAGCTGATGTGAGAGTTTCATATCATGGATGTTCCAAATTAAGCTGAGAATTACAGCAGTAAGAATTAAATACAAAGGTACACTCTCTTCCCCAGCCTTAAAGGAGTTTGAAAGAAGCTCAGCCCTCAAATGTCAAAGGCATAAGCTGCTCTCCTTTGTTTTGAGCAGATGGGCAGAAAAAAAATTTCAGGGGCAAATGGTTTCCCAAGTTTTGGGAAAAACTCTTGGACAGTGTTGGTGTTCTCCCAACCAGACATCTCCTCGTAGCCAGTTTCCAGCAGCAAGTAAGCTCTGTGAAAATGCCACTAGTGCTGAGCGACAAGCTGTTTGTGTTTTATAACAGAAGTAGGGACTTCTGTGGTTCTCCTTCTCCATGAAGTGTACACTTTAATACAGTGGGTAATCATTTCACCCAGAGATCCAGGGTCTGCTAACATCTGTGAGTCAGTATTAATCATTGAGAAGTTAATCTGAACCAGAACAGCAAAGGCATTTTGTTAAGGCAGGCATCAGGTTGCCTCAGGTTGGGAAGGGAGAGAGAGGGAGAACAAATCCTAGCAGAAATCCCTGCAATGAAACCCAAACCCCCTCCTCTTGGAATGCTGTCTGCTTATCCACTGACATGGAAAGATAGAGGAACACTGCTGCCTTGAGGAAAAGCTTTCTGCATTATCTGACACTAGTTAATGTTGTTGCAGGGTTTCGGTGCCTTTGAGCGTTCAATCTTGACTCAGATTGATCATATTATGATGGACAAAGAGAGATTACTACGGCGGACACAGACCAAGCGATCCGTGTATACAGTGCTGGGGAAGCAGGAACAGGAATCTCATCCCATCCCTGAGTCTTTGCCTGAAAATTCGGTAAGGGCTTTTTCTTTCTATAACTCACCCTATAGCAGCAGAGAAACTCTCTGCAAAACAATTAGCTTGAGCCTTTAGTAGGTAATATTCTTGTTTGTGTGAGATTTATGAAGGAGATATCTGAGTGTTGATTCCTGTAGTATAATGGCTAAGAAAAAGAAGATGTAGACATTTCCATTCCAGTTTTCTGGTGTTTGCGTTATCTCCTGTGCCTGTTCTGGACAGGGGAAAACAAGGGTTGGCCTGTGATTGTGTCCCTTCTGTGCTATTTGAAGTGATGATGCTCTCACTAAATCTGCTTTTTCAGGTAGTGGCAACAAAACTGGTTTTACTCTGGAGTTTAGAATCTTTAACCCAGAAAGTCACTTCTGAAGTTATACTGCATATAACCTACAGAATATGTTAGTAGTAAGCCTGTTATTAATTTAGTATTTAAGAATGAATAAATACTCAATTCTGAGAGATCATGCAGAATTACTGCACTTGCAAGATGTATTTTTGCCATTACATTAAAAATATCTGTAGTATTTTGCCAGAAAGACTTTGCACAGTCCTATTTATTTCCCAGTAAAGGTCTCATAAATCTATTTTGGCACTGGCAGCATTTCTGCTTTGCCTTTAAATGTATTCCTAGTCCTTAACAGCTTGTTACGTTGGGAGGTTTTCTCCATGCCTTCCTATCTTCAAGTGTGTTTACAAGCTGCTGCACGTGATGTCATCAGAGTTAGGAACAGAATTACACACACATAAGTTTTCAGTATTTCCTTTGTGCTTCTAGGAAGTCCTCCCTGAGTCAGATTCCAACAGGCACCTGAAGGACATAGATGAGGAGATATTTGACGACGATGACTTTTATCACCAGGTAGGTGATGGTAAATCTGTGTTGGAATTACGGCTCCAGTTGGTTTTTAATACTTACAAAGCTAATGTGGTTGGTTCTGTGCCCTACATTTCTTTTACCAGTAAAACTCAGTTACCTGTTTTAACACCCGAAATCTCTGTAGATAACTCAGAGGACCTCACTCACAACTTCTGATACAGAGCTTAAGCTTGCATTGCAGCTGAAAACTTTCTGCTGTACTTGAGTGACTCAGGGCCACAGGATAAGGGCTATCCCTGTTCTTGCTGGTGAATGTTGCTATACCAGAGAAAAATGACTGAATTCTGTAAAGGTGACTGTTCTCTGTGAGTAGAGTCCCATTATGAAAAACGATTCTAGTAGATCCTCAAGAGCACCTGAGTTACTCTCAACTCAACCTAAATCATCTACCTACTGAATGAAAAAGCTGCAGGGCTTCTCTAGGGCTTTTCTTGGTATTGTGCCAGCTTGGATTCAGGCCAGTTACTCTTTTTATTTGCAAAATTCCTAGAAACAAAGAATGTGCACCCAGTGCATGGAGGCTGCAGCTTAGGGAAACCTTGTGTTTGTGTTTCGTTTGAGAAAGGACAGTGCCAGCTTCATGAAATACTGAAATGGCCATATATTGAGGAGTCTGATTCGCTGTAAGTCCTTCTCCACTGCACAAAAAACTAGTTTTGCTCCGATGATCCACAGAGAGCTTCAACTTCGGGACTAAACAAGTACCATTATAGCACTAGAAAGGCAGAAATTTCTGATCTGAATAGCATTAGAGTGGCTAGTAAAGTGTTAAGGCAGTGGAAGAGAGCTGCTGCCACATGCCTGTGCTCTGGTAACTGATTTAAACAGAAGCATTTGGATACTTTCAAAGTTTGGGGTTTCATGTACAGAGCCAAGACTAAAGGTGAATTAAAGATGTATTAAATTGCTAATTCTTACCTGTGTTTTATAGATAGGTAATAACAGAGAACTGTAATGCTGACATTTTCTTCCCTTCCAAGAAGGTTTTCAACACACTTCCAACCCTACTGCTGTAGATGTCCAAGAAAAATCCTTGCAGTAGATCTCACCTAGCACAGGATTAGGACAATGTGAATACTTAATGTTTGTGAGGGAGGTACTCAAGGCAGCCTGCCTCAGAGCCCGGACTCTGTTCCAAACCAGCTCTTCTCCAGGCTGTGTATTTAATGTAAGAGCATCTCTGCTGGCATTGCTGTGAATCGAGGAGCATCTCTTGGGCAGGTGAAGCTTCCAGGTTCATCTGTGGAGGCTCTGAGTGCCTGTCTTGTGGGCAGCAGTGGTCAAAGAGGCCAAATCTGTAAGGCAAGGAGACCATACTGAGGTGGACTTCGGGGTCCAGGTGGACCAGAAGCCCAGCTTTGGGGGCTACCATAAGAGCACAGAATAAATGAAGTTCATATAACAAAACTATGAAGTTGTCCAGGAGAAATAGCTGCGATTGACAGTCTGTGGACCTGTGCAGGGAAGGTGCTTACTGGCCATGAAATGTTAAATTTGTAAAAGAAAACCAGCAATAGATGAATGGCCCATCTTCCCTTCTAATAACTTTAACTTCGATGCATTGTGATTTCAGAAATATGACTAGTCCCAGCTTAGCTTTTCCCCTCACTGGTTAATTGGGGTGCTGGGGTTAATCTAAATTAAAACTTAAACTAATAGAGGTCATTGAGGGAAGAGAATCACCTGAGTAAAACAAATGGGGCTGCCAGGCACAACTGTATCTTGGCCATTTCCCAAGAGGGAAGTGGCAGCAAATTGGAGTTGTTTCAGCATTCGGCAGAGGTGAAGGATGGGTGACACTGGTTTAATGTACGGCACCTCCGGAAGCGTTCCAGATTGCATTCCTTGCTGGTACCAACTGCTGCCTCCCGCGCACAGCGACTGGGAGCAGGACCAGCCAACAACATCTGGCAGCACAGCAAGGAATGGGTGCAACCTTCAACACCCCATGGACTCTAAATATGGTGCTTAGGCTGGGGGAGGCTTTAATCACTTACCACTCTTTGGCAGCGGGCTACGACAGCTTATCCGAGCCTCGTACATCACGCACAGACATCTGCTGAGCCGCGAGGCAGCGGCACATTCATTTTCCTTTCTTGCTTGTTGGGGGTTTTTTTATATCCCTCCCTCCTCTCTCTTCCACCCTTCTCCTCTCCTCCCATCCCCAATATGCTTCTTGGGAGAGATGATCTGTAAAGATTACTGCTTCATTGTGTGCAAGTAATTGTGGGGATGCCAGCGTCTTGCCAGACAGCGTGCGGCACCTGTGCCGCTGACCTGGTTAATGTCTTCTGTTGAGTGGAATTTGGCAGAGATTGGAGCTGAAGCCAATACAATGATAAGGCTAAAGAAAATGGCTGTATGTTTTCTGTCACCTCCCAATTAAATTGGCTTCATAAAGTGCTTTCCTTTTTTTGTCAGGGTGCTAAACTGAAGCTGAACATTGCGCTCAGAGAGGGTAGAGTGCGTTAGAATAGAGCGCTGACAAAGCAGTGAGTGTGGTTTCTCTCAGATGGGTTGTAACTGGGCAGCACTTTTGTGTGTGTGGATGTACAAATATAAACAAAACATCGAAAGGGACCTGGTTCTTTAGGAGTAATCAGTAGCAGGGTCTCTGGTTGCTGGAGCTGAGGTTGCTCAGGAGCTCTGACCTCTGTGCGTTATACTCATTGCAAAGTGTACATGTACACTTCAGTGGGTGCTTTTTTCTTTGTGTTTGCGTTTAGATCCAGACTTTTTTTAGTATCACTTTCCTTTTTCTAAGTAACGTTTGATAATGATCAGTTTATTTTGATTGCTTCATAGGGTTTAGTAAACATCCAGATAAAGGAGGACATTGGAAACCAACTCCTGTATATTTCAGTAGGAAATTAAGTAAAAATGAAGGAGATCTGATGAATGTGCACAAGTTACCAATAATGGAATAAGCAGCTGCACCATTTTGTTACAGATTATCATAAAAAACTCTTTAATGAATCTGTTTTTCCTGTGGAAAACCAATTTTATTGTGCAGGTCTTGGTATTCAGTGGAATTCACTGTGTGGAATTTTATGACAATTCACAGTTTAACTCTGTTGCGTCTGTTCATCTCACTTTGCCTTTTCTCATCTTCTTTACTTGTTTTATAAGCAGTTACAATTTTTATTGTGGTGGTCCATGGTAAATAGTAATGTGAAGCTGAGCTGAGTAATGCAAGGGAAATACTTTCATCTGGGTTGCGTTGGGCAGGAATAGTGAAACTGTTTCAGAGGATCCTCATTCCTGCCAGCAGTGAGAGGCTCGACTCTCTTCCTTTTTAAACTCTCCTTCATACATGGTTTTAAGGGAAGAAAAAGGCTTTTTATTTTTTAGAAGTCATGTTTACATAGAATTCATTACAGCTGATATTGCAGCATTAAGACTTAAAATTCCAGCCTGCTACCAGAGAGCTGCTGGTCTGACATGCTACAGTGGAGATTTTATTATTAGGTTCAAATACTCCTCTAGTAAAGGAGAGAGTGGAAATTGGTTTATTCCCAACAGGAATTAGGTTAGTGTTCATATGCTAAGCGTTCCACTGGTAGCAGCTCTTCCCAGAACAAATGTTCATCATTGGTGGCAGCGGGTATGCCTAAGAATTAGGAATATACATAATCCCTGTTTTTCTCTGCTCTCCTGCTCTCTTCTCCCCCTGATTTTGGGTACGTTGTATGTCATCGTGTTTCATAACAACCCACAATCACCAGTGTTGTCTGTGATCACCACGACTTGAGCAGCTGAGTGGAACCCAAGTTGGGGATTGTTCAAGGTAACGCTGAAGACTTCAGAGAGGGATGGCAGCAGTTTGCCAGGCAGGGCTGCCAGTAGCTCCCAGAGGACTGTCATCCCTCAGCAGCTGCAGTATGTTGAAATGAGCTGTTCCTGTCTGGGGTTTGCTCCCAGGGTGAGCATCAATAGCAAGAAGAGGTTTGTTTCCTTCCTTATTTATACCCTTATTACTTAGGGAAGAAGTTAATCCTGGAGAAAATGTTTAATTGTAGGACTTGTAGCTTTGTTGTTGTTGTGGAGTGGCAGTGTGTGTGCCTGCCCCCTCTTGCACACTGTGTGACAGGCATGGTTTTTACAAGTGAGCAAGAAACCTCACTAACTTCCTTTTTCCTAGCTTAGCATTCCAACTGCCTGCTATAATCTGAGTAACCACAATCTTGCAATCCTGAATCTCTTGGTAAAATGCTTCTAGGTCAGTTTGTTTCCCTTCCGAGTTGTATTTGTGCCTAAACCACAGTGTGGCATTTTAGAGAACTTCACCTGAGGAGATAAATTTTCCCTTGTGTCCCAAGCAAGAGTTGGCCTAAAGCAGTTTCTGGGGCACAAACTGTGGTTTTGTCTCTCAGGTATTTGATAATGCCCTAAACAAGTAATTACTAATGCAGTGAACTATTAAAAGTCGATAATGGTGAGGAATAGAGAGAAGAGTGGCTTTCTGACAAGCTGGTTTACCTTAATTAAACTGGTGAGTGATTAATATGGACAGTTGATCTTGTGGCTTTAATGAGATGCGTTTAGAGTTTTGTGTGAAGAAGAGATGTCTCGAACCATCCCACAGGTTAATGGCAATACAATACTCTTATCACAGGCATGTATCTTTCAAATGGCTGGGTAGATGGTTAATAACACGTTTTAAAGCTTGATTTGAAACTTCTCATAATGGGTTATGAGAAAATATGCAAGTCAATGCCTATTCTATACAACACTCAGCTTTGAGAAAATGCTTTCTGAAAGAAGATTGTGCAGTGGTTTCATCTCACAGTTCTGGTTTTTACATTACAAATAATGGCAGAAAGTGGTCCAAGGAGGTTTAAAGATAGTATTTCAGCTGCAGTCCAGATTTTCTCTGGTGTTGCTAAAAATCCAAATGGAGTTATGGTCCTGTGGGGTGGGAGCTTGGAAGATGAAAAGAAACAGCTTGTTGCTGCATTTGGGCAGGACGCAGTGTAAAATGTGTGCTGGGTGAGTCCTGGGCTGTAGCACCTTCTCATAATTGATGCTGGTTTAAATAATTGTATGGTGTATAAATACAGAAAAGGAGGAAAAATGGATCTCTCCAAAGGCTAAAGGAGAACCAACCAACCAACCAAAAGTACTGAAATTACATTGCTAAAACACAACTGTGTGAACTGTCTGTTCAGGAAAGAGGAAAAGCACTCGAGGTTTGTAGTCTTCCTTCTTGGATTCAACAGGTTGTACTTAGCTTCTCTCTTGTTGTTTCCTACAGTGATTTTGTTAAAAAAGAACTGCTTTTTAACCTGTTTGAAAAGATGACTTATCAACAGCACATTTCTTCAGTGGGTGACATGGCATGTTGTGGCTCTGTGAGGCAGGATGAAGGTAATTTGTCTGAGCTTTTGAAGGATTCTGTGTTAAAGGATAGTGGAATGCCATTTGTAGACCTTCACACTGTAGTAATTGTTTACTGTCTCTAGTAACAAACACACATTCAGCTAGAGCAGTCCACAGAAGCAATTGGCCAATATTTTAGAATTCCTCACTAATAAAGAGAGTCCTTTTTAGCCAGGGGGTGGCAGAGTGCTCTGGTAAAGGTAAGCAGCTGAAGTCTGCCTTTCTCCCACTTTTCTCATTGTCGAATCTTTGTCTGATTCTGTTGCTTTAGCAAATGACCAAGATGGCAGAAGCCATATGAGGTTCTGTTTGTCTGTTGTGCTACCCAGGTGCTCTAAAATGAACATTGCCAGACCCTTGTTTGATATGATTGTTGGCGCAGGGAGCCTGATGGGGCTCTTTTGACACCCCCATCCTGCAGCTCACCTCTTCGCATACCTGAGCTGGTGAGTTCAAAGGCAGCAGTGCCACTTGCAAGGCAGAGCAGGTGCCTTTGATGCACTGTAGCAGGAATGACCTGT